TCTGTTTAACCCTTTGCACTCCTATGTCGAGTGTGACTCGACATCAGTTTTTATCTCAAGAGCTCCTTTGTCGAGTCTCACTCGACATTTTTTCAAGTCCAAACCAATAGATGAAATATAATTCGGAGTGCAAAGGGTTAATGGATTCATTTGCGTCATCTTAAACAATTAATTCTATTGAACTTTACATCTCGAATGGAAATGTTATAATTTACATTTTCATTCAACGAATACGCAAGTTGTTTAACGCAGATCATATTAATGTAACATATGTATAATATTACGTTATATAATATTAATATAGCATCCATAAATGTGTAATCTTTTTTTTTATTATGCCAATGAGTTTTAGACGCAAATTGACTTCAATACTTTTCTTTTAATGAAAAGATATTGTATCCCAATTTATTCCTTGTTTCATTGTACACGTAGAGGAGAGTCCCCTATTACGAAATAGGCCTCTAATGTGAGATAACATAAATTTTCCACGTTCAGATTCAATCGCAAATCTTTTTCCGCGACGATTACACGATCTAACAATGAATTTTCCACTAAACGCAATATGCAATCATGGTGAAACCAACAAGATGATGCTTGTTAATTTAACAGAAATCCCGCTCTCATATTAGAAACTTGCCTCATAATAGAGAACTTTCCTCGGCGCATATAAATCTCATAAGAGAATACGCATTCAATAAGCATCTGCAGAAACACAGAAAATCAATGTTGGTCGCTTACGTCGATTTTTTATTACGTTACGGCGTTTTTAAAATCCGGCACGCGCGCATCGCACGCGAAAGAACACCGCGTATTTTTCGCGGGACTTGTCGGGACTTGATAGCTGCGCTACTAAAAATCCAGGTGCGAAAACGCGTGTAGCACAAGCTCTTTGAGACACGATACGCCGCCACTGCTAATATCGCGATCGCGGTCGATGTGATTATCAATAACAACAGAGATTTTTATTGACCGTATCTGGCAATTTTAATAATACAGAAAATTTATTGCGAAAAATATTACCACAGCCAGGGTTTCAATCTGGACTTCCCTACACGTAGGGAATATTTTTCGCAATAAATTTTCTGTATTATTAAAATCGCCAGATAAGGCCAATAAAAATCACAGACGTTGTCAATTACTGCTGGCGACTTTTGAGAATATTCTCATTATGTAATTGTCAATGTCTCGGCGCAGAAAAATTGCAGCTGAACGGTCTTGAGTTTGAAAGCTGGAATCCGAACTCTCGACGGCCGCAAAACTGCTCGGGCGATCCAACCTGCGAAATATCGTTGAGCAATTGCGAAAATTAATTTTGCCCCGACTAACTTATCCCCGGGGATTTTCTCCAAATCGCGAGTCGATAACCTCGAACGTCTTTGCGCAAAAAAAGTTACAGCCAACTAATCTTGATTCAAAGCTGAAAACTTTAACGTTCCCGAGTGTAAGATCGTTTTCCGACCCGGTGAGAAACGATTCGTCGAATCGACGTCGACGCCGTCAATTTCACGTCGATGCGACACCGTTTCGGGGATTAGTCGGCGAGATAGCATTCAATTATAAAAACAAAACTGATCTTACGCTCTGACTGTCTGTGCAAACAAAAGTTTACTTTCGTCGGTGACGAATAATGGAATAAATTGTGACAAAATGTTTACCTCGCGATCGCTGCGTCGCCGCTCCCGATGCCTCCCCGGCCTCCTTCTCCCCGTTCCCCGTCCCGGTGAGAAATGATTGGTC